TCGCAGGTCTTGAAAGAAAAGAGAATATAAAATAGGTAAAGACTTAACTTCTGATTCTGAAAAGAGTGGCATTACCTATTAAAACTAAGTAATATTAAGAACTAAATCCCTGTGGTCACTAGATTGGGCATCATACCAGAAGGACAATATTTTTGTCTTCACAAATCACACACTAGATCTTACTCCTGTAAAATTTGCACTGTTTCCTAAGTGTTTTCTAACATGTTTCTCAGTCTCTAATTTGATTAGCTAATTTTATTTCACACATTAAAATGTTGCTAAATTACCATCTACCTGAAAGCATAGAAGGTCATGGTTTCATTCTTTAAAAAGAAGGAAAGAAAAGAAAAAAGAAAGAGATCTAAAGGAGCCACCCTTCTTCCATACATATGGAACACTAAAATCTTTTAGCCTAGTAAAATTCCTAAAATCATGATGGAGTAGAAAAGGGCAAACCCTCAGAGACTCTCTTTCCAGATTCATCTTTACTCCGAACACCACATACTACTGGTCAGAAACTTGTCTTTCTTTCTATTTCAGGCAGAAGGTCAGATCTGTCTCATTCATTGCAATTGAACACATGGCTGTCAATTATAACACATCATAAAATTATAAGATGTTACTTCTTTTCCTCCCATCATCTTTAGTGATTTGGAGTAGAAAAGCTCTTTCTGAATATCTTGTAATCCCCAAATTGTCAGAGATCACCCAGTGACCTTAGTCCAGAGAAAATAGGTATGATCCATAACTAGTGAGATAACATTAGCCTGGAACTAAAGATCCTGTGCATCACATCTACACCAAACATTTTCTGTGGAACATTTCCGAGCAGATGAGAGAGGAGTCTAAATTCCATGTTACCATCCTACATCTGCTACTTACTTGTGATATGGCCTAGATGTGCCACCAATATCAGAGCCTCTGACTCTACCTAAGCCTCAGTTCTCATCTTTAATGTAGGGATAATTATACCTGTCCTCATGCATATTTCCTATTTTTATATAAATTTACACAAAATATATGCTGTGATGACTTACAAATATTTGCTTAGCAAATCCTAGTTGTGTCTGCAAGATGTTTCTTCTCCTCCTCATCGTTAGCATTTTCTTGAACTAAGTTTCCTCTTTGCTAGGAATTATGTTGCCCCGTCACCATACATGCCAATATGATAGAAAGCTCATGCATCATCCAATACCACCAATGCCACCTTCAAACACTTTTCCTGATTCTTTTGAACTCCTGTAGCTTGTATTATTTTTTCTAGAATTAACTACTTCTATTCAGGCTTATCTTCTTTCAGACCATGACATCTTCCATGAAATAGGGCATGTTATGTTCAAGCAAGAGTGCCTCGCCAGCCAGGTGGAGGTTATGTATGCCTTTAATCCCAGCACATGGGAGGCAGAGACAAAGGGATCTCTATTAGTTCAAGGACAGACTGGCTCTCAAAAACCCAACAACAACAAAAAGAATGCCTATCCATTACATGGAACACAGCATATTTTCAAAACTTACGTTTAATCAATATATGAATGAAAATGTTAATATATTTCCAGGAGTTGAAAAGTACTATGAGGAAATTTTCAGGACTAATTTTACGTACTTATTGAAAATATCTTTAATATTATATTAAGCTCCTTTTAGACATAAAAAAATGAAAGGTTTTTCCACTTAGTTCACTTAGGCCCATGTGTGAAGAGGCTTGGATTCAACTCGGATGCCAGAAATTCCACCCTTAACAGTTCATATCCCATGCAGCCTATAAGCATTACCCTGGGTTCTCAGACTAAGTATGAACATTTTAGGTTGGATAATATTTTCTGGATGAAGACTGTCCTCCATATTGTTGGTGAATGTCAAGACCTCTTTTTACAAGGTTCCAAAGGCACAGTAATCCCAATTTGTAACAATATGCAGACATTGTCAAATGCCTACTGAAAGAATAGCTTGAGAATAGATGTTTTAGAATCCTGCTTGTTTCCCTGCTCAGCAGTGACTGGATACCAGGTAAAGAGTCAGGGATGGAGGTAGGGGTGGTATGGGGAGCAAATGTAACATTCTAAAGGAACTGCAGGAGTTCTGTATTTAATGCTGTCCACTGGATAAGTAGCTACTGGATAGTTAAAAATTCGCAGCCAGAAGATACTCAGTGCCAATTTAGTGGAAAAACCTTACATTTCTGAAATGAAAAGAAAGCAAATTCTGCAAAGCCTTTAAGCTACAGGTTTGCATCAGGCCCCACCTGCTCTATTGTAGGCGAGCTCAGGTTGATGGTAAAATAGGCTTTTGTCAGAGTCCAGATGAGGGCTCAGCTTGGGGCTGTCAAGGTTTTGAGTGGAACACCTGCGGTTTTTAAATTTTCCTGGGCCTCCCTGCTGCTGAGTGCCATCCTGCTCTGGGTATTTTTAGACCACCTCTTTGTTTTAAGTAACATTATATTGCAAAGGTACCTTGAGTTAAAGTAGACAATATGATAATCAGTTATTTGATGTAGGGATAAGGCCTTAAGAGGAAATACTTTATATTAGCCTAGTATTTTAAATAAAGTGGCCAAAATATATAATCTTTAAAGAATATTATGTTTATTTTATTTAAATGGGTGTTCTGCCTGCATGGATGTCTATGGCTCTTGTGTGTGCTGTTCCTGATGATTGAGGAGGCCAGAACACTGAATCACCTGGAACTGGAATTACAGATGGTTATGAGCCACCATGTTAGCATCGGGAACTGAACCTGGGTCCTCAGCAAGAGCAGCTAGTACTCTTAACTAATGAGCTATCTCTCAAGACCCCCCAATATATCTCTTAGCAGAGATATTCTAATAGAATCTCACTATTCAATGAACAAAACAAGTATTTATAGAACTGGTCAATGTATGCACCAAAATAAGACAAAATTAAAAAAACAAAAACAACTACAGCAAAAAAACCCAAACAAATAGTATTTGTAAACAATGTTCAAAAACATCATGTTAATATTATGGCAAAATTAGGAACTACACTAATATTTTTTAAAATGTCTATGTTAGAGCAGGTAGTATTGAGATTCTAGAGGATCCAGAATATCCTCTGTGAAATGGCTTGTTGGAATCCATCTGGCATAACAGTGGTGCTGAGGAACCTAGATTGGTGTTTAGACAGTACAGACTGATAGACTGTATGGAGAAAAGTCTAACAAATGATACTTCACCTAATCCATTCCTGTTTCCCCATGAACAATCATGGAGAAGGGACACCTGCAGCTTTCTGCATCTTCAAGTCTGTCATAGTCCTTATTCAACTCTTATTTCCAGAGAATAGCAATGTGGTTGACAGAAATTTCAGCCAAATTTGGAACAGGAGAAGTGACTTTTGGCATTCTGTTCTTCACATCTCTGTGCATAGTCAAGTATAGTGGTTCAGGGCTGGCATATACCTTCACCTTGAAGAGGAAGGCAGAAAGAATGATTTCATATCCCTCTCTGTGCCCAAGTTCCTAGAAATTGGCTTAGGGCTTCTATCCAAGCCAAGCTTATCTTTCTCTTTTGGTCTTTAAAATAACTGTTCTAGAATTATAGGCTCCTCCAATATGAGCTAGTCACTTTCACATAGATATTTTCATGCTACCCTGTATCTCTAGCTACAGCCTTTATTACAATTGCTCATGGACTCATCTCTCCCTTTGGATCTCTTCTTGCTGTACAAGAGGCTTCAGATACTTCACATATACTCTAGATATGAAAAATTTACCATAGTCCCTCAACATATAGGTGGCAAAGAATGCATAAAGAGGCAATTAATATATAGTTACTGTCTGTCCTTGCTAATGAAATTTTGGTCAATTTTTTTGTATGCAGATTTTACACGCAGATTCACAAAAACTTGTAAGGAACACATGCAATATTAGGAAAAATACTAGTAAAGGGAACAGTGTGATGTGTGTGTAGAGAGTATCCACACTCAAGAACCTAGCAAAGAGGGCTTAGACCTTTAAAGTAACAAGGAAACTAGCAAATTAATGTACTTCAACTACACCATAGTATTCTTTAGTTTCAATTGCAAGCTCCCTAAATAATGTGTTGGTTATAACTGAATAGGCATTTCTAAATGTCACGGTATTTGGGAAAAATAAATTGACCTTGCAATCATAATACTCCATTGTATAACATAAATGGCCAATGTGCAATTTGTGTTTGTTCTTCTCAAGTCTATAGAGCAAATTGCTAAGTTTTGCCATGAACAAATGAAATGTAAATGTCCTACATAATTACTTGTATTTATTTTTGATATATTTAGTGTTTATATTTTTGGTTTGGTTAGTTTTGTTTGTAATTTTTAAACTTTAGCCTTTCAGAAACAGAAAAGTTATACTATTCATTGCTTTTGAATATTTTAAGTAAAGCAAGGTTCAGGAAAAATGGAATTTTTCATAAGGACAAATGGAACGTGCAATAGAAATTTTTCTAGGGGTATTTTAATGCATTTTTAAATGTTTCTTTCTGTAGGACCTCTTCATCATGTTACCATATTAGCATCATAGAAGATAGTTTATTTATAAATACCTGGGATCTGAATTCTACCTTTTAGTAACTTATACCTTTAAAATAATGGTATAGGTATTGATGACTAAGTTTTCTCCAAAGATTTGAAATCATGTCCCCCGACTCCTGGTACTATATATTGCAAAAAATAAAATAAAGGATTAGGCTTTTTTTCATTTTATCCCAACATTGAATCAATGAGTATATTCATAATCATTTTAATTGCTTGTTTATCCTGCTTAGGATGAGTTTATGTTTCTTTGCTGCTCTGTTTCTCAAACTTAGACTCTATAATCTTCTCTGGAAAAACAAAACAAAACAAAAAATTCTTAGCAGGGTGGGGGCTCGGGGCTGGGGTTAACTCAGGGAAAGGACCAATCCTTGTTCCACCTTGTCTACAAAGACTAGATTTAAATTCCACACTGGGTATCATTACTACAGCTACTTCCTTTTCAATGACACTTTTTAAAATGTTTTCCAAGCATGTCAGACTAAGCCTAAAGCATATTTTTGTTATAAATACTTTCATAATATTCTCTCTGTATATACTTATATAGAGAAAAATTACTAGGTCAAAAAAAGGCTTTGGGGATTGATGTCATCTACACCCTAAAACACATTTTATTCAGTAGTACATGTTCAGTTACATTTGTTTTCCTTCAAATATTGGTAGGGAAGGAATGGTATTACCCTATAATGTTGTAGACAATAGAAATTCGAGAATCAATTCTTGTTTTTCCAGCTTGACATATTTCTGGCTAACACCATGCTATTTATGAATCCCTGCTCATCTATGACCTCTGAGACAGAATTTTCCTGTTTGTAAAAGCAGGAAATTTAGAATGGATCAATAGATGGCATTTCCTTTTTGCCCTTTCTATATTCTTTTCCTTCTTTCATTCTTTTTCCCAATGTAGATTAAGCAATAAAAAAATACTTCTGCACATTTCCACTAAATGTGGCAATGACCTCATTACTCCAAGAGAAATGTCAATTCTTTAAAACAAACAAAACCTTCAATCTATGAATGAGAAAAGGGTTAATATGAACTGTGAGCTGTTTTATCCAATAAATGCCACACTTTGGGGAAGTAAAAGATGCATTACATTCTAGTTTTCAACACCTCATCAATCCAAGAGTTCCTGACTTACCTGTGGTTTTGGATTAGAAAATATTCAGTAGACTTAAACAATTAATAATGACTTGCAGGTTCAGATTATTTGTATTACTCAAGTTTACAAAATAAATGTTCCTTCTTAGCCAAGGGCTGTTTGTTAAGATTCATATTAAGATAAAAATGTATGTTTGTCAATCAATTTTATAATCTATTTTAAAGAGTGAAAGAATTTATTCATGAATGAGAATGAAATTTGGGAGTATGCTTATGACCCTTTAAATATGAATTATATCATCCATGTCTAATTGCAAAACATTTTGGAGACAGCCTTGTGTATATCACATTTTAAAAATTTATGAGTATTTCTCAGTAATAATAAACCTTTGAATAAGAGCTGACCAATATGCATGTATTTAATGCACTCATGAAAATGTGAACATCTTTTAATTGAATTGGTATTATGAGTCATATCTTTATATAGAGAACCCACATTCACTATTTATCTCCTCCACTTACAAAATAAAAGCAGCCTGTGGGATTTCCTCCCCAAACCATCCCATTCCACAGGTGTTTCTTTTCCTTGAGATACTGGAAACCTCATTAGGACCTTTTTATTTATTTATTTTCCCTAGTTGCTATAGGGAACCTGTTCAAAGGAAACTTCTAAAGGCTAAGCTGAATTTTCTAGTCTCCTTTGAGAGCCTAGAGTCTGCCAGTACAAGTAAGGATGATGAAAGAACAGCAAAACTTTAGAAAAAAGATAAATGAAGGCATTTCCTCAGCTTCACCCTGGGAAGTGGGAAGCAACTCTGGTTATGTAATTTATGTTCAACAAAAACTCTCTCGAACTGCTTATTTATATGTTGCCACTGATTGAGCTTGCTTTCTCTATCTGCTGGGTAAAATAGAAGAGGGAACAATTACCACAATAATCTCAGCTTCCCGTGGTTCAGTGGCTTTTGATATTGCCACAGGAGGAGGGGCTGTAGTCTGTGCCTTCCTTTCAGCCCTCTGTGACTGGAGATTGGTGAAGTAGTTGACAGCTGCGAACTCAATGAGAGCAGAAAAGACAAAAGCAAAGCACACAGCTATGAACCAATCCATGGCGGTTGCATAGGACACTTTGGGCAGGGAGTGCCGGGCACTAATGCTTAAGGTGGTCATAGTTAAAACAGTTGTGATTCCTGAAATGAAAGAGAAATGCAGTATTCAGCATCAGGAATCTTGTAACAAGATCCAACAAAGGCAAGCTTGTAAGGACAGTCACTGATTCTGCCACCCTTTAATGATTTTAGTGTAATGCTTTATCACAGGTGTTACCCTCTGTATGTCATCTCAAACAATTGCATTGACCTATGAAATAAAATTTCTATGAAAACATTTATTGAACCAAGCTAACTACAATAAAATGTAAATCATGTACAGTCTATTTTTTTACTGACTGAGAATATGTAACAAATTACTGTGATTTAAATTTTTAGAATCTTGCCTCTTTGATCTTTCACTACATCTTTCACTACAAATGAGTAGAAAATTAGTATGAAATTAGGTTACTCAATTCAAAAGAAAAAACTTTTTTTAAAGTTAAAGTATTTACCTATGAGAAAAAAGAATTCTGTCACCTTCCTGCTAGAAGTTTTTCTGCTTGAAATGTGACAGAATTTATGTAATTTGTAGATATGAATGTTGATGGTACCCATATGAAGATTTTTGTCTCTGGTAATTTTCAAAAGTAGAT